GATAAGAGAAGCAGCCAAGAGGGACAGTCTTTATGGTTTTCAGCTGAGGAGATCAACAAACTGAGGAATCTCCTTCAGCAATCAACAAGTTCTACAGCTCAGTTCCCTCAGTCTAATTCTGTCACTACACATCCCACCACATCTCGACACACTGTCTCAGGTAGCACTTGTCTCAATACCAATCTAGAGCATGTTAATCCTGTTGTATGGGTGCTTGACACAGGTGCTAGTGATCATATTATTTGCAATGAAAGCTTGTTTTTGAGATGTCAAGAAGTTCAGAACATCCATGTAAATCTGCCTAATGGTCAAAAGGCTAGAGTTACTCATGTAGGGTTAGTCAAGTTGCCTTGTGGGATACTTCTAACTAATGTCTTGTTAGTGCCAAGTTTTTCCTACAATCTTATCTCTGTCAGCCAGTTAACCAAAAACACACCTGTCTCACTTTTGTTTGAATCAAACTTCTGTTGTGTTCAGGACCTAATCTCTCAACAGAAGATTGGTTCAATCCGGGTAGATAGAGGGCTATACTTGCTTGGGAGTGAAGCTGAGTCTACTCAATCCAACAAACACCAAGTCTGTGGAGTGAAAACCAGTCAGGATTCAGCCTTATGGCATTCAAGACTAGGACATTTGTCTTTTCCTAGATTACAAACTATTCAAAAACAGTGTAGTGAAGTTGTTTTACCTTCTTCCTCTCATTGTGAGATTTGTCAGTTATCAAAACAGAAACGTTTGCCCTTTTCTCAAAGTGAGTCTAGAAGTAAGGCTACATTTGATTTAGTTCATGTGGATATTTGGGGGCCAGTTGATGTGGTTTCCCTTGATGGATTTAAATATTTCTTGACTGTAGTAGATGATTTCAGTAGATCTACTTGGTTGTTTCTGATGAGTAGTAAGTCCCAAGCAAGGCAACTTTTGCAGTAATTCTGTTTGATGGTTAAGAACCAATTTGAGAAAACCATCAAGGTCATAAGGTCTGACCAAGGACAAGAATTTAATATGGAGAGTTTCTATCAAGAACATGGGATTCTGCATCAAATGAGCTGTGTGAGAACTGCTCAGCAGAATGGAAGAGTGGAAAGGAAACATCAGCATTTGCTGAATGTTGCCAGATCACTCAAAATACAATCTGGGATGCCTGTTAATTTTTGGAGTTTCTTTGTTCTCCATGCAACTTACCTGATAAATCGAATTCCCACACCTGTCTTGGACAACAAATCACCCTTTGAATGTCTTTATGGTGTGCCACCTGATTACAGCAATCTTAAGGTGTTTGGATGCATGGCTTTTGCCACTGTTTTAGATGATCATAAGGGTAAGTTTGATCCTAGAGCTAAAAGAGCTGTTTTTCTAGGTTATCCTTTTGACATTAAAGGGTACAGGTTGTATGATCTGGATAATCATCAGGTTTTCATCAGTAGAGATGTTGTGTTTCATGAAGAAGTATTCCCATTCAAGCAATCTCAATCAAGTGTTCATAAATCTGGTTCTGCCTCTGAGTTCTTTCCCTATAACTCTTCCCCTGATGATTTCACACAACCTCTCTTGCCTGTTGATCATAATGTTCATGAAACAACAGATCCAGATTTTTCTCCTTTTTCTTCTGGATCAGATACTTCAGAATCTCCCAATGACCTTTCTCCTCTACACCCATTCCTTCCCCAACTCCAGGACCTCCTGTCTTGGATCTCCCCATAGCTATCAGAAACCCAACTAGAACAATCAAACAACCTTCTCACCTTGCTGACTATCATGTCAGTCTTCTCACCTCCACCACACCATCACATGACTCTAAACTTCTCTACCCACTTAGTTAGTGTCTTGACTATGATCAACTCTCACCATCACATAAACATTTCTCTCTTTCTATCACTGTTATACCAGAACCAAAGACTTATGCAGAGCCATTTTACATGAAATTTGGAGACATGCCATGAATGAAGAGATGTTTGCTCTTGATGCCAATGACACTTGGGATATTGTGCCCAGACCACTTAATAAGAACATAGTTGGGAACAAGTGGGTTTATAAAACTAAATACTTACCTGATGGTGTGATTGAGAGAGCTAAAGCTCGGTTAGTGGCTAAGGGATACACTCAGACATATGGGGTTGATTTCACTGATACATACTCTCTAGTTGCTAAGATGAATTCAGTAAAGCTATTATTAGCTGTTGCAGCAGTCAAGGGCTGGTTTTTACACCAGATGGATGTTAGCAACGCATTTTACATGGTTAATTGAAAGAGGAAGTGTACATGGAACTTCCTCCCAATTTGAAGGATCAGAAAGGAATGGAGGGGATGGTTTGCAAGTTAAAGAAGTCCCTGTATGGCCTGAAACAGGCTAGTAGACAATGGCACATCAAGCTCAGTGAATGCCTACAGAACTTTGGTTTCCAGCAGTCTTTTGATGATTACTCAGTTTTCAAAGTGATTGCTAAGGGATGTTGTGTGATTGTTATTATATATGTTAATGATCTTATCATTGCTGGAGACAATTTACAGCTTATACAAGCAGTCAAGCAACATTTACAATCTTCTTTCAAGATCAAGGATCTAGGAAACCTCAAGTACTTTCTTGGTATTGAAATTGCCAGAACTGCTGAAGGCATTTCTCTCTGTCAAAGAAAATTTTGCTTAGAACTCCTGGCCTCTTCTGACTTCCTGGAATCTAAGCCTGCCAAGACTCCTATGAGTATGAAGACTTCCCTCTCTGCTACAGATGGAACTCCCCTTCCTGATGGTTCTGAATTTCCTCAATTGCTTGGCCAACTTCAGTACCTGACCACCACGAGGCCAGACATCTGCTTTCCTGTTCAGCAGCTCTGTCAATTTCAGGGGGGCCCTACCAATGTTCATTTACAAGCTCTACACAGAATTCTCGGGTATTTAAAATCCTGTCCAGCTCAAGGCTTATGGTTTTCTGCAGCAAACTCCACCCAACTCAGTGGTTATTCAGATTCACATTGGGCTACTTGCCCTGATACCAGGCGTTCAGTGACTGGTTATTGCACTTTTCTTGGTGATTCTCTCGTGACCTGGAAGAGCAAGAAGCATACTACAGTGTCACGATCCTCGTCAGAAGCTGAATATAGAGCTTTGGCTCAGCTGTCCTGTGAAGTTCAGTGGTTGAAGTCACTGCTGGAATTCTATGAAGTGAAATATCCTACGCCAGTGAGGGTTTTCTGCGATAATCAATCTGCTTTACATATTGCGGAAAACCCAGTCTTTCACGAGCGGACAAAGCACATTGAAGTTGATTGCCATGTCGCTCGTAAAAGATTGAAATCAGGCCTTCTCAGTTTGCATCACATTCGCACAGAAGATCAGGTCGCAGACTTCTTCACTAAGGGTTTGTCAACTGATCGTTTTGTTTTTCTTCTTTCCAAGCTGGGTGTTCATGACATCTACCTCCCAGCTTGAGGGGGCCTGTGAAGGAAGGTAGCTGGAACAGCCATTGTTGAAGACAACAGAGCATTCTGGGCTTCCTTTCACCCAGAATGAACGAAGAAGGAGACTGGCTCCAAACGACGACGATTTGTCTAAGTGGTAGACTCCACAAGCGAAAACGTCGTCGTATGATGGAGAAGAAGTTTGTTAGATGTCGTTGTACAGTAATAAGCCACTTGGCGTTCTGTTATTGGTCCAAACGTAGTTACCGTTTGTAATTAGGCGCTTTACTCTTTTGTTTCAGTAGAACAGGGTAGATTCCTTTACAGCTTTGCTTTTGTATAAGGTTTGCAGAAAATGGAATGAAAGCCATTCTGGCAAAACTTCCACAGCCGGTCTCGTACTCTCTCTTCTTCCAAATCCCCTCAGGAGCCCTAATCAATCTCTAGGGTTTTAAACTTTCTCATTTTCTTCTATGAAATGAAGCGATAGATAGGTGCAATTGATTGATACTTTAGCAGGAAATATGAGTCAACAACAACTTAACGCAAGGCAAAATGGTGTCTGTCAGCAGGGGAATAGGCAGAGTGTTCCAAACAGACATGAAAAGGAAAGACGACAACAACAACAATCAACTCAAGAAACTAGAGCAAGATTGCCAACTGCGCCAGCCTGCGAAGCTCGATCTTTGGATATGTGCTAGAATCTCCTTTGAGCAAGTAATTGGCCACTTTGCTGCAGAGTGTTTCGTCGGCGTCCACAATCAATGACTCCAACCTCGTGAAGGGAGAGGGGTGAGGGTGATGTTCCATAAACTCGAAAATGTGGCTCAATGGCTGCACAAAAACAGAAGCCAAACTCAGAACCTAATAAGTTAACATATATTAATGAGGGAGAGAAACCCACTTATGGTCGCAAACTATACACACTAATAAACCTCTATCTACCTGAATGGCAACCGAATCCAGCGATAGTGACGTTGCATTGCTCAAACCTTGGAACAAGGAGATCAAATCTTGCGCCATCTCTTCCTTGTTATAATATTCGTAGTCTCCCCATCGCCCCCCCAACGAGATCTCAGCTCGAACCAGGGAAGGCACTAGGCAGGCTGAACTTGGGGACTTTACCTTGTTCAAGCACATTCCCAACACTAATGAATTCGAGCTTTGGTGCAGAGAATTGGACATTGGGCAACACGTTATCCCATACTTTCAAGCTAAGCAAATGAGCTCCTGATATCTTGAAGCTCCCTCTCTCCCATCTCTCTCCAGGATCCGTGGAGTTGGCAGTAATTCAGGATCAATTTCTCGAGGCAGGGGAAATTGGAGAAATGATCCGTGTCCTCCTCATCCTCCTCGTCGTTAACCAGCATGCACTGGTGCAGACATAGAGTCGTCAGTGCGCGAAAACCAGAAGAAGGAGAAGATCTAAGCCCACTGCTACGTAACTGAGGAGCCAAACAAGTCGGAGAACTCGTAACCGTCTTCTTGATTCCCGCCTTTATCGTCGAGGTCAATCACCAAGTGTTGGGCATGATGGGACAGAGCATACTGAGCGACCTCGACAAAAAAGACCAACCTCTCGTCTCTCATCAATCATCATCATCACTACTGTGGCAGTCTATGTAGCTCAGCTTCTGGACGTTGAGATTGTAGCGGAGGGACAGAACCTTGGACGCGTAGCTCCGGAAATCCTGATACTCTTGGAAGGAAGTGCTGTGGAGGTGGACGATGGGGGCATGCTTCCAAGCACATCACCATGCTCGCGACAGTACAGAGGTCTGGACAGAAGATTTGGTGTCGAAAAACGAAAGGATGTGATGAATGACGGGTTCTGGAAGATGACTTAACCAGTCAGCTGTGTCGCTTTTTCTAGCTTTCTTGTGGCGGTTCATGGCCTTTCTCTGAGAGACGCAGCTTTTTCCAGGATCAACGGGCTGATTTGCCCTAGAGAAAGCTTAAGAAGAAATCCTTCCTTAACCGGTATAGGTTTCCCCTTCCCCAAGAAACAATAACAATAATAAAGTGAACATTAATTAGCCAAATGTCCTAAATATATATAATAATAGATGATTGAAGCTTGCCGGGAATTCTGTTTCACGGAAAGAGCTGGCAAAACATATGAAGAATAAGATACGATACAATCAAGATGTAGATAAGTTACTGACTTGGCTGCTCAATTGCACTGCACTTCGGTGCCTAATATAATGCCAGCTTGCATGTTGTCTCAAATTAGTGAATTACTGCAATCTTTATCACCTCAAACAGGGAGATTATCTCGAATTTACACTCGGAGGTCTCGCGCATCATTTTCCAATCAAAACTCATCAAGCCATTTCAATAGCAAGAGCCAACAACCTCTCCATTCTCTTCTACCAAAAGCCATAAGTTCACAGCATATCCTTCACTATACAAACTCAGATTTCTTTCTGCAGTTCTTTGTTAGCCACCGTAATTAGATATCAAGATGGACTTGTCCACACCATGGTCCATGAAACCGTACCATACCGGCGGTTCAACCACGAAATACCAATATTAGATTCTAAACCGGTAGGCGGTATTTAACGATACTACGGTTAAAACACGGTTTTATCATAAAATACCCTACCACTGACATTCCCGATACAATGTCCGGTACGGTTTCATGGACCATGGTCCACACAGAACATGGGGGAAGCAATCAGTTCATTTCATAAAAATATTATATATCAAGATCGTCATCAGGGTCCTCGTCAGAATCAGGCCTCTCATCATCTGAATCCCGAAAGTATATTATCTCACCACCACCATTACTGCATTCTTCCGTACTGCTTTGTGATGTGTCAGCTGACACCTCACCCATGCTCTCAGGTGCAAGAGATCTCCGGCCATCATAAATTTGGATAGGTTTACCATTTCCTGGAACAACGTACACGTTCAGATACTTGAATACCTCGCCGGAGAATGGGTCACAAATAACACTCCAAAATCCAGATACCTTGGTGCTCAAAAGGAAGGACAACTCTGGCTCTCTCGAGCTTCTCCTTCTCCGACAGCTCCAGATTGAATAGCACCTGCTCTCCAAAACCCACAGAGTAAAGTACACAAAGCTGTACGAATAATCACTGGAGGGAAATCATGATACAGAGACTACTGACCTTTGGCACAAGCCCTTGACTGACTAATCCATCTTCTACAGTAACAGAAGTAAACTTGATCCCCGACTCCTCCATATGAAATTGTTCGTTCTAAAACAATTATCAAACTAAGTCATTAATGTTCCAAAGGAGATTGATAGCTGCAAGGCAAGTAGATCAAGAATTTTGAATTAAGAAGAAAGCGAAAGAGATGGAGGAAAGCGCAGGTACCATCACACGAACACGACCATTTCGACGTTTGAACCGGACATGAAACTTTCCTCTCCTGAAATTTTGTTCCAACAGAGATAAATTCCCCAAGTCTCCACTAAGCCCATCAGAAGATTGGTTAAGTGACTCTACACTGGCTACCATAGAGGACAGATATTCAAGGGAAGTAGTCACCCTAACGTCATGAATATCTGAATGCAGCAACCAAAATATGCTAGAGATTTGATCTGCGAGCATAGAACAACAGTAATATTACAATCACAGCTACTATACCATCAGCTGACACTCACTTAACTCTATGCATGTCCAAAGAGTACAATAGTCGGGGAGAGCAGGCTTTTTGCCTCCTGATCCCGAAAGTAAGTAGAGAGAATGAAATTGGGAAGTTATGGCACAAATGTCAGAAAGATACAACTACTTTGCATTTAGCAAGATTTAACATGGAATTCCAACATGCACAATAAGGGATGCATGAAAGAATACTCATAATTAAAAGGTCTAGGAAGGTAATAAATCTGTACCATGACTACGTAGGTCACTGATCAGCGCTGCTACTTTAGAAAGAGGTACATGCCTCAGCATTTCAGTTACCTGATAAAAATACCAAAAAGAAACCATTACAAAACAAGCAGGTATATGAAAAGAGGAAAGCTAAATCAGGAACAAAATCAGGCATTCTTCAGCAAAGTTGCATACACATAATTCAACTAGTACGCACTAAAGACGAATCCATGCGCAAGCTGCCACTTCTAAATAAATTTACCAATTTGGCCTTTTACCGTTTGGATCAGGAGTAGCTGCATCTCACGTAGCTATTACTACTGGGAGATTAATCAAGCAATCGTCATAAGTTCCGTCAATATACAACATGCTTCTCTTCTCATTTTGACACAAAGTGTTGTAGTTTACAACTTGAGATGATTCATGTTCTTTGACCTTATTCAGTACAGTAGGAAGATGCCATCCAAATGATTCAATGCTTGGACCCTAAACATCCTAGCTGCCTCACAAATAGGAATGTCATTGAAATTGGCACAAAATTTTCGACACCAAGTGCAAAAATCCAGAACTTCAAAACAAATAGCTAAATGCATCAATAGTTCATTTACTGCCGTATTCAACCCTCGCAAAGTCCATAAAGAAGTCTAAACAGAAGGAGACAAAAACAACAGTGCCAAGAATGCTCATAAGCAAACTCAGCCAGTATCGACTTTCTTGAAAGACAAAGAATTGAAACATTACCGAATCAATGGCAACAGAAAAACGAACTTTGCCTTGACCAACCAATCCTGGGAACACACGAGCAAAGATGCCATCATAAACATTTCTGTTAGACACGCCTAACGTCCCCAGAAGAACAAACTAGCATCCCAAAAATTGGAGCCAAGAAATTAGAGGTGAGCAAAAGCAAGACCTTACCTGAACCCAATTCAAGAATCAAAGACTGCAACTTGTTGATATCCTTCACATCCTGGAACAAACAAGCGCCGGCTGAAGAATTGCTTGGCAAAATCCCCGAGTCCGCTAACTGATGCTTCCAGCCAAGAGGGTCCGTATAACAGTCCAAAATATGAATCCTGTTGCAACCAATCAACAATATGAAGGTCCACCGCCGAATATGCAGACCTTTCGAAAGGTCCAAAACTACAAACAAACAGAAACATCCAGTACCATTTCTGAGAAGAAGCAACATCAACTCCACTTCTTTTCAAGAAATCCAGGTAGAACGAGGGACTCCGCGAATATGCAACCACCACCAATCCTCTGCAGCAAAACTTACCTCAAACAAATAAATAATCACTGAAGCTGAGGACTAAAGTAAATTGTAAACGGCAGGTCAAATTGGAGGGGGAAAAGAGAGTTATTTCCGGGAAACAAATGCACTGAACATTAGAACTGTGTTGTACTTACCGTGACTGTGATTTTCCGGCTAAAATGAGGGTCGAGGCTTGGGAGAGCACATGAGTGAAAACGCCGAATCCGTACGGAGAAGCTGTTGTGTCTTTGATGGTAAGAGATGGTGCATGCTCTCCTTCTAAAGCCCCATCTCGTATTGTTCTGCAAATTGAATCCGCCATTGCTCCACCCAGAACGCGGTAATCGATTGGAATGGCGCTTGAATGTTTGAACTCTGAGCGGAGAACCCTAATAGATGCACTAATAGATGCTTGTTGCTTCCTCTTTCAGAGTCCACCTACTGCTTACTCACAGCTAAGCTTCGACAAATAAGATTGAAGTATCTTCTAAGCAAGCCCTGGCAAAGAGTTGCAAATTTAACACTCGTTAGCCAGTAGCCACCAATATCAACAGTGCTAAACCGCATGAATACAAGCTTCTTCAACAAATCCTTTCTCCATCATTAAACTAACCTCTCACTAATATTTAGCAGTGGACTACTGTAGCCTTATTCTAACAAATCTAATGGTCTAGGCCTAATGATCAGCTCTAGCAGTAGAGAGGTTCAGAGTTTCAGTTCCACACATTGCATCTCATAGTTTGATCCGAAAGGTACTTACTTTCTCCAGTTTCCGAAATTGTAACCATCTCGTCGGGGAGGAATGCAGAGAGAGAGAAACGACTGCGACCAGGGGATCTCGACAGGAAGCGTCACTGCCAGCAACTGACTATTGGCATGGAGAAAATTGGGGCCTCCGGGCACCGGCGGTTAGAAGAAGGAGGCTGGTACGGTCGTTGGCGGAAGCAGATGGAATGGCGATTTGGGAGCTATCAGCCTATCGCTGGTTGGAATGGGGAAATTGAAAGTACTTAAACCCTAGAGAGATTTTAATTTTCCCTCCTCGCCAGGAATGGCTTTTAACATTTTGGTCACTATTCTTTTTATTTTAGATGTTCTCGAGATTAAAGGATAGTCCGCCAGAAGAGAAAATTCGAAAATTTCCCGCCCTGCTGAAAAAGCTATGTGGCGGTAGCGCCAACTCGAAAAAATTCAGCTTCCCACCAAAAAATATATGGAAACGGTAAAGCTCCCACAAAAGCCATTTCGAATCCAGAGGCTCTTCAATAAAACTCCAGAAAACCTCAACCTCCTTCCTCTCGCCCTCTTCTTCTTCTTTTCCCCAAAGCCCTCCTTCCTTTCCGCCATTAATGGAGGCTCCAAGCTCCAGCTCCAGGTGCAGATCCGGTTCCTTCTTCCAGGACATCAGATCAAGAGAACTCAATGGATTCCGAGGCACAAATCTCCCCCTTTTCTCTCTCTTTCTCTGTGTCTCTTTGTTAATCTAGGGTCCTCTTTTAACAACTTCCTTTCCTGCAATTTAGTTCGGAAGCGGCCCTACTACGAAGACTCGAAGCTGCAATTCGCCGAGATGGGAGAGGTTGCAGTTGAACACAACGGCGACGAAACCCCCCCGCTGGCGATCTCCTTCTGCAAGGTGAAACTTATGTTTAGACATTACTAATATTTTATCCATTTCATAGAGTTGTAAGGTTGAACTGGAGAAATCTCCGTTCCTATGTGCAGACGGCTAAAAATGCTCATATTCTTGCGGTATCCGATGAGGAAGGCTACCTGAGCTTGTTTGATTCACGGCGGAAGCTTTCCTCCGCGACTACTCGGCTAGAGAATACAGGTCTGTTTGGGTGGATTGTTTTTCGGTTCAATTTGCAGCTCACAAAATTTATTCTGTTTTATTTTTGTACTAATTTATGAACATTGCTGGCTTGTTGCAGGGAAAGCAAGAATCACGGAGTGGGTAGCTCATCAGAACGCCATATTCGATATTCGCTGGATTAAGGTACAGTTTGCTTGGAAATTTTCTTTTCTACTAAGCTTGCTTCAGAGAAATGGGCCATGGTTATGGACATTGTTTCTGAAATTTGTTTTCAGGATGACGCCAGAATTCTCACAGCTTCAGGAGATCAAAGCGTGAGTACCCATTTGAGTGTTTGAAACATATACCTGATGTAGCTAATGAGATATCCAAGATTGATTTGAAGTGAAACAGAGCTGGTGGTAGGATATTCTAGTTTCAACCTTCAACATTTGATTAAGCTCTGTTCTGCAGATTCAATTGTGGGATGTACAAGGGAAGAAATGCATTGGCGTGTTACTGGGCCACACTGGAAGTGTTAAATCTCTGTCTTCGCATCCAACTAATTCTGGTAATTTGCTTTATATAGCTTGTTTCGATTGTTGATAGCTGCTAATTGTCTTGTTGCTAACATGGTTTCATTTCGATTATACCCCTCAGACCTTCTTGTCTCTGGTTCAAGAGATGGTTCATTTGCTCTGTGGGACTTGAGATGCCAGAATACTTCCACCAGACGGTCCACAGAAACTTGCATAAGGTAATTCTTCACCTGTGTTTGCTCAATCCAGTAAGGGTGCACGCTTTTGGACATGTTGGTATCCATACTAAACTTGTTCTTGTGATCCACAGTTCAACTGCAATGGTAAAACGAGCTCATCTTTCAGCACAAGCAAAACGGGTTAGGCGGACCAAGGTTTGTTGATGAGAAGTTCCTTGACAAAGTACTGAAGTGTTGCTCTAGCTGATTGCTAACATTGTGTTCTGCTTTTCTGTTGAGCAGACGGCTTCCACGAGCATCACCTCGGTACTTTATCTCAAAGATGAGGTGTCCATAGCCACTGCTGGTGCTGTAGACAGGTTTGGTTCCAAAGAACATCAAGAGATATTTTCTATATCGTTATGTCAATGAAATGTAAACTTACCAAGCCTTTGCAATTAATGTGTAACATGTTAGCATTGTCAAGTTCTGGGATACTAGGAATCTGAAATCTCAAGTTACTCAAGTCTCCCCACAGCCTAAGTCATCAACCGAAAAGGTAAATACTCAATGGTTGCCCGACAATATGAAGGAAATCGGCTTTCCATAGTCTAAATTGCTAAGAGTTGCTGCTTCTCATGCCTCAGGTGAATATAATGCATGGTATATCCAGTCTATCTCAGGACTCTAATGGGATGTTCCTTACAGCATCATGCATGGATAATAGGTACTCCATTTTTATCCCCATATGGAGGAATACTACACATTCATATCAAGGACTCTGTACATCTAACCATTTTTCGTTCCTTCCAGAATTTACTTGTACAATGTGCTGCAGCTTCAAAAGGGTCCTGTACAATCATTCACTGGATGCCAAATAGAATCGTTCTTTGTAAAGGTACTTCTTCACATTTCAGAAATCACTCCATCTCTTATTACTTTACGCCTGAAGTACTCTGCAAATTCTAAATGTTCGGTCTCTATGCTCTTGCAGTCAGTGATTAGTCCTGATGCTTCTTCCATACTCAGTGGGTCTAGTGATGGAAATGCTTACGTGTGGCAGGTTCGATGCTCTAACTCACAGCAGCCTTCTTAACATATCCTCGTCTGTTGTCTCTTCTTCTGTAACTGGTATAGCATTTTACAACAGGTGGAAAGGCCCCAAATGGATCCTACAGTATTAAAAGGTCATGATGGAGAAGTAACAGCAGTAGATTGGTAATCTCATATGAATCCTTTTTTGCTCTTTTGTTAATGGTTTCACTTCACACATTTGCTTTTCACTAACCGCAAAATCAACATACGCAGGTGCCCATCTGAAGAAGGCAAGATAGCAACTTGTGCAGATGATTTCACGGTAAGTGGATTATTAGTCTTGGCAGTCTCTTGTTAATGAAGTTCCCTAAGAAGATGGCATTAGTTCTGTGTAACTTATCAAATTCAAATTTCTGCAAATGTATAACATACAGGTTCGTGTTTGGAATGCTGAAACCAGCTATAGTTCAAGCTCTAGATCACCAACTTCGATCAGGAGGAGAATAATGAACCTCCCAAGTCGGGAACAAAGGCAGTTGAATCTTGGTAGTGAAGAAAAAGATTCTTCAGATCCTGAAGAAGCCATGAACCACCACATTACCTTACCAACTTCCGAATCAATAATGCCTCCCATGGGGACTCCTGAAGCTCAAAAGAAGAGGCTCCACCATGATCCAATTGAGAGCGTTGAGACAACAACCCCTGAATCAGCAATGAAAAGCCCTTCTTCTGTTTTAAACCCTCCCTCTTCCTTGAAAAGAAAAACCATTAGAGATTACTTCCTAACTGCTTAGCACTTTGTAACTAGATTCATTGGTCCTTCAATTCTGCAGCTGCAGCCTCACCACTTTTGCAGAAATCAGAATGTGTCAAGCATATAGCAACCATAACTTTGTTTATTTATAAAATGTAGGTAGCCAATTTTATGGCTCTCTCTCAGCACCAGGAATTTGAAATGCTGAGAATCCTAAAAAAAACTCTGCTATTACATTTTGGAGGATTTACTACTAGGCAGGCTGGTTGCAAACAAAATAAATGAATAACCAAACAATGTTATGAAACGTTGTTGAATTGAATGTTTAAACTAGTCATCGTGAAGCCAACTGCCTAGCTAGCCTCTCTATCTAGATGAAGCAGGAGGAAAGTGAAGGGTGGGGAGTGGAGTTGGCCAGTCGGGGTTGTCACATATGAAGAGGTGCGATCCCGTGCCTAAGCTTCCTTGTCCTCCAAGCAACTTGAGGGTTCGTTGAGTTATGTGGAAGAGGGCGAGGAAACGGTTGTGGAAAGTAAGGTAGACCTGATTGGAATCATGTGGGTTCATAGTGAGGAAGACGTCCCCGAGCTGAGGCCCCTGGATCATGTTGCGGATTTTGTTGTTGGTGTATGGATCATTTGGGTTGCCGAAATCTTGCGCTATGAACGGAATCAGCGAGTCCCATGGACCGGTCAAACTAACCTTGTTCATCGGCTTGAAATATGGTTGTTGCAGCTGATTCATATCAGGAAATGATGATTGTGGCGGTAGATTTTCAGCCACGAAGACGACGAGGGTTGAACGGCAGAGGCTCGCGGCCCACAAGCGGCCCTGGCTGACGCAAATCCCGTCTAGTGTGCGCCGTGGAGGCTCAATCACCCAATCCACCACACCGTTGACGGCGTCGTAGAGCACCACCTGCTGCTTTCCCCCGAGCATCCAGCAGAGCCAGCGCTTGTGTAGATTGACGGCCAGATTGACAGTGCCGTCGTCGAAAAATGAGTAGTCAGGGTCGGGGCAGAGCAGCGGGCGTGGCAGGGGAGCCGATTTGGCGGTCCACTCGGCGGATTGGGACGACATGACTTCCAGGTCGAGCTAGGTTCGGCGCGGGGCCATGCTGAGGGGAATCCAGGCGATGATGAAGGAGCGATCGTCGTCGTCGTATGAAGCCGATGTGGGCGAGGATGGAGAAATCGGGGGCGGAATCGGAATCGGGTACCACTGCTTGGTGTGAGGGTTGCATATGGCGTACATGTTTGGGTAGCCGGGGAAAGGCGAGCAGAGAAGCAAGCCGTTGGAGGAGCCGACGACGTGGTTGTAGCGGTGCCTTAATCTCCGTCTGCCATCTCGGTCCCCATACTGAAGTCTCGCATTTTTTTGTGATAATTTTTTGTGATAATGATGTGTAATTTTTTTGTGATAATTTTTTTTCATTTTTTATAATTATAATTTTTTGTGATAATGATGTGTAATTTCTAAAAATTTAATTTTTATTTTTAATTATTTTTTATTTGCCACGTCACACATTTAACGGTCAACTGTCAGAGTTGACCGCCACGTCAGTCAAAGTTAACGGAGAGTGACCGAACTTGAACTGTTCAACTAATTCGAGTGACTATAAATGGAATAAATTAATTTGAGTGGCAAACGTAAAATTTTATAGCAATTCGAGTGACCAAACTTGCAATTAAGCCGATAATCAACTAACCAATTCCTATTCTGACACTATCTAATACGGATTAATTGCTATTATTATTAAATTAAATCGCCGAAGTTGGCAGTCCAGTCTAACCTAAAAAACTATTTAAGCGCTTTCTTGGAGAAAGCTTTCCCACATTAGTTTATGTATTATTTATTTATAATTTCTTCATCATGCCCGTTGTTTTATGTTTTAAGTTTTAACCACAAATCTAATCCCCTTTTTTCGTGCGATATATGTAACACCCCGTACCTCATTTAACCTGATTTTCCCTAATTACCCTTCCAGGCATATAATTGTATTAATAATTAAAAGCTCATTAATTGTCGGCGAATGGATTGTTTTTTTTTTGGCATAAAAGGAGGCCAGAAGCCAAGAAAGGAGATTACAGGCGAGAGGAGGAGGAAGAAGAAGTAGCTACAACTCTGCGCTCGAAAGCGATACCCACGAGGTCATCTTGAAGAATCGAAGCTAGTCCATGAGGCGGGTTCACCGGTGAATGGATTGTTGCTGGACTTGATATACTTCAGATAAGAATTGTAATAATGGAGTTGTTGTTGCCAACTGATTAATCTCCCTTTGTTGAAATCTGTCTGTAGCTTGTTACCTCCAAAAACCTGTTACATATTTAGAGTCGGTTTGAAGTTCAAACCTTGTAGATAATAATTCAAGCTTCCATTTTTTCAATGTTCTGAGACAGGCTAGTGTCTCTAATTCGTGGATCGGATAGTTTTGTTCAGTGGCGGTAAATGTTCCAGAAATATATTTGCATAATTTCTTAGAATATTTATCACTGTTGAAAGGAACTGCTAATTGAGAACTTGAAAGTTCAATAATATTGTCCGAAGACTGATAATCTTTAGGCTTTTGGCCAGAGACAGTAGGCTCGTTATTTTCAATTTTGACACTTCCAAAATTGTCCATTTGTAATAATTCCTTGCCATTTTGTATTGCGAACATGCACCCTGCCCAAGTGTCTTTAGAGGCGTCCGTTTGAATTATTAGAAAATTGTTTTCACATGAGTTATATAATTTTGGTAAATGCTGACATTTTTCCTTCATTAATAAAACTATAATTTTGGTAAGCATCCAAGAAAACGTTGAATTTGTTTTCTATTTTCAAGTTGGTTTGGGAATTTATTGATTTTTTCTTTAGTGTTTGGTGACAACTCAATTTCGTCGAAATTAATAATCTTCATACCAAGATATTCAATTTCCCTTTGAAGAAGTTTCGATTTCTTTTTAGAAATAATTAGATCTTTTTCTTTTATTCTCTGTTAAACTATCAAGATTTTTTCACGATGATCTTCCTCTGATTGATTAGTGAATATAATAATATCATCAATGTATGCTAGGCAGAACGATTGAAAACTTTCTAAGACATGATCCATAAATCGTTGGTAGATAGCTGATGCTTGTTTCATTCCAAATGGGAGAACATTCCATTTGTAATGTTTTGTGGTGGACATGAAAAGGGTGTTAAAGGTTTGGTATTCTCATGTAGACGAAGTTGCCAATATCCTGATTTAGCATCTAAACTACTAAACCACGTTTGACCTTTTAATCTTTCTAACATATAGTCTTTCCTAGGTAATTTATAGATATCTTCTATTGTTTGTTCGTTTAGTTTTTTTATAGTTTATTACCATTCTTCTTTTTCCTCTTTTGATTTCATTATTATTTTCCACATAAAAGGCTGGTGCACTGTGAGGACTTTTACTTTCTCGTATTATACCTTTTTTAACTAACTCTGAACATTCCTTTTGGAATTCTTCTACATCTCGTTGAGTATACTGAATTTTGTTAGGGACATTAACTTCCGTTTTAGGATCCTTTAGTTTAATTTCAATAAGTTCCTGATTGGTATTTTTATCTTTATCTAAAGAATGTTCACTACACACCTGGTCTAATGTATCCTCTAGGATGCTATAGGTAATCTGTATATATTCTAGTATATTTTTGAGGTTTTGAAGTACAATCATTAGCACTTCATTTTTCGTGATTATTCTGGTTGTGATTATCTTATAGGGTGTGCCTACGGTGACATGCATGTCATGGTGACTTGCACTTTCCGGTCGACCTCAGTTAGGATTAGGTCGACCTCATTAGAATTCGGTCGACCTCATATAGGATCTGGTCGACCTCATGTAGGATTCGGTCGACCTCATATAGGATCAGGTCGACCTAATATGTTGTTTCAGTGTAAAAACAGTGCATGGTGTCTACTTTGGATATTCATATCATACAATTGGCTATATGGAAATTGAAGACTAATGACTTGGTTTGAAGCTAGAGTGTCACTCTACATATTGAAGTGATTGAGAGCTCGATAGGAAGTTCAGAAGACCATTTTTGAACCTCATCAAAAGGCTATGCCAAAACTGGGAAACTGCCTAGAAATGGCTAAGTCTGGAAACGTTTTTGTGAAGCCTATTTTGGAGCTCAATTCAAGAAGCATGAATGCGAGTAAAGTCCAGGAGCCTCTACCACGTTAAATTAGGTATGTTTTTATAAAAATTCAAGGCATTGGATGAAAGATTGGATATCTGTAAGGCTTCAAACAAAAGGGTCGTAGTTGCTACGAAGGCTGTTTTTCTGACAGACTTCGAGCACAAGCAAGCTGCCAGAAAAACAATCTTCGTAGCAACTTCGAGCCTTTTGTTTGAAGCCTTAAAGATATTCAATCTTTCATCCAATTCCTTGCCTCTGTATAAAAAAAATACGTAATTTAACGTGGTAGAGGCCCCTGGACTTGACTCGCATCCATGCTTTTCAAATTGAGCTCCAAAGTAGGCTTGACAAACACGTTGCCAGACTTAGCCATTTTCAGGCAGTTTCCCAGTTTTTGCATAACCTTTTGGTCAGGTTCAAAAATGGTCTTCTGGACTTTCTATTGAGCTCCCAAGTACTTTAATGTGTAGAGGGACACTTCAGCTTCAAAACAAGCTTTTAATCTCCAATTTCCATCTAGCCAATTGTAATATATGAATCTCCAAAGTAGACACCATGAAACTGTTTTTCCACTGAAATAACAGATTAGGTCGACCTAATCCTATATGAGGTCGATCGAAAAGTGCATGTCACCGTAGCAAAGTCCTATCTTATATTCCTGGTTTATTGTTTTAGGACATCTAATGTTGATTGTTCTAATCCTTTGGATAAACGGTTGATATAATTTTAGAAAGTTGTTTCCTATTATTATATCTAGTCCTGAGTCATGTTGATAGATTGTTTTAGCTGTAAAGATATGTTTTTCAATAATTATTGGTACATATTGTTTTACATACCAGATTTCATGGATAGATTTATCTGCTACTATAATTTTTAAAGATTTTTCAAGTTTATCCCACTTTTTACAGTTGATTTTTTGGCAAAACGTAAGGTTGCCCCTGTATCAATGTATGCTAAAAAGTTTTTCTTTTCTATTTCTATTTTAATAAATGTTGCATTAGGATTTCTCTTAGTTAATACCTTCTTCTAACTCATCTGAAAAGGTCTCTGAGGTTGAAATATATTCAATAATTTCTATATCGGAAAGTTCAAAATTTATTTCTTCAATTGGTTCAAAACCACAATCGTAAGCCAATCTAATGACTTCTTGCTTTCTAGTGTTAGTATTTTTCTTAGGACATTTATTTGCGTAATGTACTTCTTCGTTACATAACCAACATCTACAATTTGTCTTTCCCTTAGGACAATATTTTTGTTGTTTTGATTTTTTGTTTAAATTGTTTTCTATTTCTGAAATATTTATTTGGTTTTCTAAACCTATTTTTTCTATATTCTTTATAAGGTATTTTTCTCCATTTTTTTATAATTTCTATATTTTTTTTAGTTTTAATAATCTTACGATCATTATTACACCCATATTTTCCGACTCTGTCCATTGTTTCTTCACAACAGAGTTTAATTTTAGCTTGTTTCTTTAGTTTTTTCCTATTACAAGCTCGTTTATGCCATTCTTGTAAAACTAATATTCGTCCTCCTAATGTATATGGTATTTCTTCTTTCGTCAAAGATTCATTAAAGATAGCTTCGACTTTTTCAGAGACATTAGGTGGTAATTTAGCATAGAGTAATTTATCTAGCTCTTTTCTTATTGTAGGGGTGACTTGAAAATAGTGTGTTCTGAATTCACAAATAAATGGTTCTAAGAAGCACATGTTGCAGATTCTAAGATTAGTTAAATGCCAAATAGTTTGTTGACTTATAGTTGTGTTTGGTTTATCTTCTTGAGGATGTCGTCCTAAGAATTCATGAGTTATTGCATTTAAGACTTTTTCAAAAGTATTCGTCGCATCCGTTGTTCCATATAACATTGTCTTAGTAGGAATATCCATGTTGTTGAGATAATGATAAACTGCCCCAGTTGTTTTATATATTAAGAAATTAAATATTTCGTTAGGATGTAATTTCTTTAGATCTTCATTAGTTTGTATTAATAATCTTGTTCGATTTTTCGAGTCTTCTAATTCTTTTAATGGAATGATGCAACAATCAAGATCTAATATATCAGGACTATTAAAACTAGTGGTGGAATATTTTGGTATGTAAGATTGAGGTATTTTACTCCATCCTCCCCCCTTTGCGAGGTGTATACGAGTTTTTATATAAATATTCATCAAAAAATAGTTGACCATCTTTATAGTTATTAAAATCACGCTTTCGTGATGTTTCAGCTTGATCCTCAGTTTCAGTTTTTGTGTAATTTGCATTTGTGTAATTTGTG